TTTGCAGTTACCCTGTGACAGATTCCATTAACTATTGGTGGAGGAAATAGAAAGCCCTATGCTTCCAGACAGCCAATTATTGGGGTATCTACAAAATCAGGTAAAATATCTTTTCTTTCCCAAGAACCTATTTGGTTTAGACCTATTTGACTTAAGTTTCACAACCTTAACTTCTGGTTCTAGCTATTACAAAATTATGAACAAAAACAGATTAGAGTAGAATATAGGGAAATGATTATCACATCTACAAACTTAAGTATAATATAGGGTAATTTTTACACAGCCTAATTTTAGTTGGCCTATGTAACTATTAAATTTATTTGTGTCTTTGCGGTAAATAGAAAATTTACAAGGATTTATAGTCCTAATTTTAGCTATTTCAAATCGTAGCACATTATAATTCTAATCATATTCAGATCTCCCAATAGACCAGTATACCTAATGCTCGGAATACAGCGCAGCTGACTGACCTGAGGAGGGGGCGCCTGGGACTCGTGGGGCGATGGGCGATGGGTGATGGGCGCGGGCAAAGTTCCTGGCTTCGCCGCCGCGTTGCGGGGGTTGGGAGTGGGGAAGGGGCCGGAGCAGGCGGGCGCTCGAGGCGCCAGGCGCAGCAGCACGGGTGCAGCGCCGGCTCCTGCAATAGCAAACAAAAACTATGGGGGACTTAGGACTCATGGAGGGCGCTGGGGAAGGTTTGGGGAAGGACATGGAATAGGGGTTTTTAGAGCCGTGTTGTGGGAAGGGGGCATTGGGAAAGGGGGGGCGGAGAGCGCTCTCACGTGTCCGTGAGCTGCTGCGGGCTGAGGGGCGGGCGCGCGGAGGGGGCTGGAGCGCCAGACACCTGTTGGGGCTGCGCGTGCGTCTGCCAGGCGCTCCGAGAGGGGCTGGGCGGCGGGAGTGGCTGGCGTGGCAGTGGCCGAGTGCCCTTTGAATCAGGAAAAAGGCTTTCTTGGTTTCTGAACTGAAGAGGAAAGGCTGTCCAAAGCCAGGATAGGGCCTGGGCCCAGGGGGCTAGAGGGAGGAAATTCTCCCTTCCCCCCTTTGGGGCCTGGGAGGGCTGGACAGGAAGAAGCCTGGGAAGCACTGAATGAGGACCAGGGGCTCCTGTGCCCAGAGGTCCCCACACAGGCTCTTCCCTCCTGCACCCAAGCCCAGGGGACACTAGTGGGCCTGGGGGCTGGGCAGGGGTCGAAGGCCAGGTCCAGGCAGAGGGTGTGTCTAGGAGACGATGGAGGGGGTGGGTAAGGTGAGGTTGCTACCAAGAAGGGTGGCGACTGACAGGTCCTGCCTGTCTTTGCGTTGTGGAGGGTCTGACCACAGACCCTGGTCCGGCTCTGACCCACCACGGCCCTGCTCTCCCCCAGGAGCCTTCTGTATTCCACTGTATGTGCCCTATGTGCTGACTGGCCGCTGGCCCTTCGGCCGGGGCCTCTGCAAGCTGTGGCTGGTGGTGGACTATCTACTCTGCACGTCCTCCGTCTTCAACATCGTGCTCATCAGCTATGACCGGTTCCTGTCCGTTACCCGCGCTGTGAGTCTGGGATGCGGGTGCCCACGCTCACTCCTGGGGGGAGGTGGTCAGGAATGGCCCAGAAGGCACCGGCAGGGGATGTGGGCAGTGCCAGGTGAGTTTGGTCCCGCTTGCCTCACTCCTGACATGCCAGGCACTCTCTACAGCCAGCTGCCCACTCAGTAGTCATTTGCTGCCAGTAGACCGGTCCTGGGACAGGCAGGAGGCACCACCTGGACCTGGCATCAGGTGTTCCTGAAGGAAGGGGGTCACTTCAGCCTCCTCTTTGGGGCAGGTGCAGAGTCTTTGGAGCTGAGGGAGGATCTGAGCCAGAGGCCCTTGGTGGCACCCCCCTGCCTTGTGTGTGTATGTCTGTGCCTTTGTGTGTGTCTGTGCATCCCAGAAAGACAGGCATCCGCTCCTGGCTCCCCCAGTTCCCCTTGGTGTGAGTGGCCACCATGAGCTGGGGCCCTGGGCTGCCTAGGCTCCCATGATAGTGCCACATGGGCATGAGGCTGGCACAGCGGAGCAGAAGTCTCACCGTGCTCCTATGTCTTCTCCTTGATGGCTTTTTTGGGCACCCAAGGGCTCTCTGCTCAGGAGCCACATGTGTCCTCTCTAGAAGGGCATGGGACAGAGTGCGAAGAGCATGGGTTTGAGGTCAGTAGGCCTGGGTTGAACCCACTCTGCCCCCTTAGCCGATCTGCCTGGTCTGTCCCTCCCTCCCTGAGCCACCCAGAAAGAAAGTGGGGAGAGTAATGGGGGTGTTGTAAAGATTAAATGAGATGACATCCAAAAGATGCCTGACCCAGCATGTCCCCGCAGGTCTCTTACCGGGCCCAGCAGGGCAACACGCGGCAGGCGGTGTGGAAGATGGCGCTGGTGTGGGTGCTGGCCTTCCTGCTGTACGGGCCGGCCATCCTGAGCTGGGAGCACCTGTCGGGCGGCAGCTCCATCCCTGAGGGCCACTGCTACGCGGAGTTCTTCTACAACTGGTACTTCCTCATCACGGCCTCCACGCTCGAGTTCTTCACGCCCTTCCTCAGCGTCACCTTCTTCAACCTCAGCATCTACCTGAACATCCAGAAGCGCACCCGCGACCGGCTGGACGGGGTCCGAGAAGCCACTGGCCCGGAGCCCCGACCAGAGGCCCAGCCCTCTCCGCCAGCCGCACCTGGCTGCTGGGGCTGCTGGCAGAAGGGGCAGAGGGAGGCCATGCCACTGCACAGGTATGGCGCCGGGGTCGGCGAGGTGGCCCCTGGCACTGAGGCAGGGGAGGCAGCCCTGGGGGGCAGTGGTGGGGGCACTGCAAACTCGCCCACCTCCAGCTCAGGCAGCTCCTCGCGGGGCACAGAGCGGCCTCGCTCGCTCAAGAGGGGCTCCAAGCCGTCGGCGTCCTCTGCGTCGCTGGAGAAGCGCATGAAGATGGTGTCCCAGGGCATCACCCAGCGCTTCCGGCTGTCTCGGGACAAAAAGGTGGCCAAGTCGCTGGCCATCATCGTGAGCATCTTTGGACTCTGCTGGGCCCCATACACCCTCCTGATGATCATCCGGGCTGCCTGCCACGGCCACTGCGTCCCCGACTACTGGTATGAGACATCCTTCTGGCTACTGTGGGCCAACTCAGCAGTCAACCCAGTCCTCTATCCACTGTGCCATTACAGCTTTCGCCGGGCCTTCACCAAGCTGCTGTGCCCTCACAAGCTCAAGGTCCAGCCTCACAGCTCTCTGGAGCACTGCTGGAAGTGAGCTGGCTAACCAGGCCCCTCTGCCCACACCGTGGTTTCTGGGCAGCTGCCGCCTCCTCTTCGGCCCACACTTTTGCCATGTGGCCTCTCTTAGACCACCTGCCTGCCGTGAAGGCAGCTTGGTGGGCTGGCCGAGGACCCTACTGCCTGAACTGGAATGTGAGTGGCTAGCCCTGCCACCCAAATCCTCTCTTCCCCAGGAGGGACAATCTGGGGGTCTTAGCCACAATGTCCACCTCCCCGCAGACAGTGTGGCAACCAGTGGGTCCACCGTTTGCACAGTTACTGCTTGGTGTTCTTCCCAAAGCAAGCGCGTGGCGTGTGCTCCATGCTTTCTACCCAGCAGTTTGCTCCTGCATGTGCGCGCACGCCTGCACACACCTGCACACACCTGCACACCTTCCCTTGCTCCAGACCGGCCCGGGCTACCGGCTCTGCAGCCATCTGCCCCTTCTTAAGCCCGGCCCGACTCCTTCAGCCCTCTTTCCTCCAACTCTCTCTGCCCCCAAAGTGCCAACAGCTTGCTGCTGTTCTCTGCTTTTCCATTCTGGGTGTTTCAGGAAGACAAAGAAGAGGAAAACACATCTGTGAACTCGATGTTCCTTGGATGTTTAATCAAGAGAGACAAGATTGCAGAGGAGCTCAGGGCAGGATTGGCAGGTGTGGGCTCCCACGCCCTCTCTCCTCGTGCTGCTGTTTCCGGCTGAGCTGCACCAGCTGCTTCTGCCCACCCTGCCCCTGGCTCGGGTGCTGGGCCGGACTGGTGGCTCTGAAAGTGGTCAAAGCCCGGATACCTGCTGTCAGCAGGCTGCTACCCCACTTCCTCTGCTCAACCAGTGTTTCCTGGGGCTGACGGGTCCGGGGGCCCCGGCCTGCCCTGAGGGTCCTGAGGCTTGCAGGGCAGTCAGAGGGACCAGGCCCGGGTGCCCAGTGGAGGGTCCGCTTCGCCACATTCCGTGCGCCCTGTGGCACCCTGCATGCTCCACGCCCCCTGGACCCGTTGAGCCGGCCTGTAGACTCTGAGGTCCACAGTAAAGTGTATTTTTTTATTGGTGCTGATTCCTGAGGACTTTGTGTGTGGGGGGCTGAAGTGGGGTGCTAGGGAGACACAGGCCACTCTGGGTGTGAGACCCAGGCCTGCCCCTCCCCTGGCCTCAGTGTTCTCTTCCAAGTGGGGGACTGCAGTGGGGAGAAAGCAGCCTGGCTGGCACACCAGGGTTTAATCTTAGTAAGGGGCAGGTGCCCAGCAGTGCCCCCCCTGCTGGACCCCATCACCTGTCCAGGGGACTCATTTCAGCCTTGAGAATACACCCCAAGCCCCACCTGCTGCAGCCTGCCTGCCCCCAGGACGAGGCTCTCATCTTTCTTGGCCATGACTTCCATCTGGGAAGCTTCCCGGGCTCCTGGGGTGGTGCTGAGGGGCGGGGGGGGGGGGGGGGGGCCCCAAAAAAAGGGAGGGGAGGCTTTTTTGGGGAAAAAAACATTCTGCCCAAAAGCCTGGGGGGAGGACTGGGGGGAAAATGGAAAAAGGACCTGCATTCCCCCTGGGCTCCCCGGGGGGCAACAAAACTCGGTCTCACCCCAGGAAAGGGGCCAGGGCAGCCCAACTCGTGAGACCCAGACTCCAGGTGGGAGCCACAAGGGCCCTCCCTCCCCTCACAGACAGCCGCTCCCCTGTCCCCACGGCCCCACACCTCGCTTCCCACGCAGAGACGGTGACAGCTGGGCATGGGTCCCAGGGCCTCTCCACGGCAGAGGCAGGTCAGTGCCGACACCGAGTCCCGCTCTGCAGAGAGAGCTGCCCGGAGACGTGAAGATGACAACCCTGCGGCAGACACCGTGCCACCCCAGCTGACGACACCTTTATTTCCCAGGAACCCGGGGAACTCCTCCTGCTGGCACCCGCCCCCTCACACTCTCCCTGTACCATGGGGACCCCTCTGGTCTAGGCAGGCCCCTCCCTAGTCACCAGAGAAAGGGGCTCCCTAGAGCAGTGATGGCGAAACCTATGACACGCGTGTCAGAGGTGACAAGAGAACTCATTTTTTTGGTTGATTTTTCTTTGTTAAATGGCACTTAAATATATAAAAAATATAAGTCTTTGTTTTACTATGGTTGCAAATATCAGAAAATTTCTATATGTGACATGGCACCAGAGTTAAGTTAGGGTTTTTCAAAATGCTGACACGCCGAGCTCAAAAGGTTCGCCATCACTGCCCTAGAGGCTGGGTGCTGCATGAGCAGAGACAGTGGACACCACCATGTGCGGGGCCCAGAGCTCAGGGAAACCCCTGCAGGTAGCTCTGGAGGCCGAGTGCTGCCTGCACACTAGCCATTGGCCACCCTGCTGGCCCCACAGGACCCAGCCTGAGCCCCCCGCAGGCGCCTGTCCCTCAGCCCAGGGCCGTCCAAGCGAGGACAAAGGACTCGTTCTCCGTTCTCTGCAGCAGCAGCGGCGGCAGGCACCTCCCTGCAGACAGCACAGCCAGAGCCCTCACTGCCCCTCCGCCCAGCCCTGCTAAATGGCTACAAATTGGAGGATAAAAGCACAGGCTTTCAAGCAATTTTGCCTTCAATCTCTGGAAAGTGCTGCTCCGCAAGGGGATGGAGGAGGAGAGAAGAAAGTCACCCAGCCCATTGGGCCTGGCCCAGCAGCAAACAAACACACCAGGGGGCCTTTCTCCTGAATCCCACACTGGGCCAGAGACAAAGCCCTTCACCCACCCCCGCCCCCCTGCTGTGGATGTTTATTGAGCACCTACTGTGTGCCAGGCTGGCTGCTAGGAGACGCATAAACAAATATCTGGCAGATAAGTGGGGCCACTTCCATGAGATTGGGGGCTGCAGGGCTGTAAGCAGGGCAGAGGCCCCAGAGGAGGGTGGCCCAGCTCACAACCCAGGGGAGCCTCTCGGAGGAGCTGACATCTCATTCCTCCCACATTCCCTGGGCGACCTGGCTCCCAGCAGGGCACCTGCCAGTTCTCCAGATGCAGGAGGGGCTGTGGCCAGGCTGGAGGGGCTGAGGGTCAGCCCAGGACCAGACGGCCTGCAGCGTCCTCCTGCCTGGGCCCCTCGGGCTGGCACTGGCTGCAGGTGCCCTGATGTGGCTCTGGAGGTGCCCAGAACAGCTCGTGTGGAGCGAGGGCCCTTTCCAGCCTGGAATAAAGACCCTCAGCTCTCAGGGTGCCCAGCAGGCCACCCCTGATCCTTCCAGAAAAGGCCTACCTAACCAACACGTCCTTTGGGGAGTCAGGGCCATGACGAGGGAGGGGGGCTTGCCCAGCAGAGACTCTGGAGCCCTGAGCCGTGGGGACCCATGTGGCTGGCCATTACCTCCCTGCATCCCCTATCCCAGCCTGACCCTCATGCCTGAGCTTGAGGGTACAAAGAAGCTTTCCACCAACATTTACTGGAGCACCCCATGTCCTTGTAGCCACCCCATGAGGGGTGCTCACACATCCACTACGTAGACACGAAAACTGGGGCTTCAGAGACAGGGTGATGCACCCACCCCCCACACTCAGCAGTCAGGGGGGCCAGGGCTCCACCCGCCCACTCCGCTGGGTCCTCCCTTGGGCACCATGGGCAGCGGCACGTGAGGTGGTCCCCGCAGCACTGTGCCCTCATGAAGACCAACTCAGTACCCCTCTCTCAATGGGGAGCAAAATGATGTCTGGAGGCACGTCCCAGGAGGGCTCCTGAGAGCCTGGGACTAGGCTGTGGGCCGACGGGAGGACGCTGCCCCAGGGAAATGGGCATTGTGTCCAGAGCTAGTGCCCAGTTTGAAGTTTGTCAGGCAAATCTGAGAGGCACAAACATGTCGTTCAAAAGAGAAAGAAAGGAGAGAAGGGAAGAAAGGTGGCTTTGGATGAGAGGATGGAGAGGTAACACTGTGGGAACTGCAATGGACTAAAAAGGCATCTGTGACCCCCAAAGTCACACCAAATTTAAACAGGACCAAGTTGATGATCTTTAAATGCAATTTTACTGCTGGGCAATCTTTAAAGTCCAGCAAACCCGGCTCGGAGCTAAGCTGCAGGAGTGAGGGCAGCCCTCTGCCTTCTGTCCTCTTCCCGCCCCGGCTGACCCCTCAGCGTGCAGAACCTCAGCTTCCCGAGAGGCCAGGCAGTGCTCCTCTCGGGCCTCTCCCTGGTGACCCCGAGGGTCCTCATCTCAGTGGCCGGCATCCCCAGAGGCAGGGCAAGGGGAGCGGCAAGGCCCAGGCCGCAGTGGCTTTCTGCATCCTGCAGGGCGGGCGGGGCAGGCGGCCCAGCAGGAGGGGAAGGCAGAGCTGTGCCGCTGGCCCTGCTTGTATCTGTTGAAGCCGAGGTGCTTCCCAAGACAGATTTCCAGTCCTGAGCGAGCATGATGCTCTCCCCTGGTTTTCCCAGACCCTTGCGACCCTGTGTGCTCACGGCTCCTGCTGAGGCCCCACTACAACAGAAAAGGAATGAGGAAGGCATGAGCCTCCTCGAAGGGCAAGGGAGGACTGAGAGAGCTTTCCAGGGGCAGGCAGGGTGGGGACCTTGTGGGGGGTAGGGACAGGGCAGCTGCTGCCCCCTGGGGAGCCCTGCCCCTAGACACGGGAACTCTGGAAATTAGGCTGGAAACGGGAATTTAGGAAACCCCGCATCCTGAAGCTTAGGTCCCCATCCTCAGACCTGCTTCCAGAGAGGCAACCAGGTGACAGCCACTGTGGCCAGAGACAGTACCAGAGGCAGAGAAAATGAGGCCAGTAAACGCAGGGCAGCTCCTGGACCAGGTCTGCGCCTTGCGCCACTGTGCACACGGCCAGCCTCACATGCAGACCCAGGTCACTGGGGCGAGGGGCAGGGAGACGTGAGAAAGCAAAGTCCTTTTCCATGGATGAGATGTGGATGGAGATGCCCAGACTGCAATGAAGAAACAGCTGAACAGCCTCAGGACAGATGACTCACAGAAATGGCCAGAGGGGTGGCAGGGGGCAGGAGTGGCGGCGGCACAGGATGTGAGGCACTCGGCACCCACCACTTGCCCTTACAAATACCTTCAAAGTAAAGGAAACCTGGATGCAGCTAACACAGGCCATCATTCACTCCTTCATTCCCCAGACGTCTGTCGTGCCTTCTCTGTGCAGGGTCCCTGGGTCCCGAGGCTGCAGGGACACAGCCGGAACAGGGCGAGACCCTGCCCTAGGCGTGCTCCTGGAGGGAAGGCACATCTCCCTGGGCAGCCACTGAGACACAGGCCTTGGGCAACGGCCTATGTCCTGTGAAAGCCTGTGGGCCTGAGCGAGCGACCAGATGCAGACACCACCTCTGGTTGTAGAACACAGGGCCCTGGCGTGCAGACAGGGAGCAGGACAGGGCTCGTGCCCTCCCACGCACTCAAACTCCTGAATAGCCTCTCAGTGATGACTGCCACCCGCAGAAGACACCTAGGCCCAGGCCCCTTCTCCTGATTCCTCCCTGAAGGGCCCTCGGGGACAGGTCAGAAGCATTAGATTTTATTTGGGGAAACAGTGGCTGCAGAGTGCGCTAGTGGATGAGCGAGTGGGCAGCAGTGCGCCACCCTCACCGGCCCCCTGCGCCAGTGGGCAGGGTGGCTTATGGAGCATCCAGCCTCTCAGCTGCCACCACTCGGCAGAGACAGACGCTCCATGGACTAGCTGGCCTGGCCTCCGGGGTTCTCTGCGCTGACAATAGGCTGGTGGTAGGTGCAGGCCCAGCAGTCTCTCTGATCCCTGCAGGGACAGCGCAGGGGGGACCCAGCCCATGTCCTCTCGGAGCCCGGCCATCATCAGCTAATAACTCTCTGCACAGATGAGCATTAGAAGCTGCGTCTCCGGCCGGATATTGGGTGCATTCAGTCGTGAAGTCAATGCCATGTTCAGCTCCCAGAGCTTGGTGCAGTCTGAGGACAACAGGGGAGGCGCCTCAGTGCTCAGATGGCGGCGTCCGAGCAGAGCATGGCGCCTGTCCCCGGCCGCTCTGCAGGGTGTGGGGACAGCCAAGGACTCTCAGGTCCAGCGTGACAGCTGCTCACGTGTGGGCTGGCACTTAGGAACCGGACGGTGCCTCTGGCTCGGATCCGGCTGTGCTGGCTCCCTGCACACAGGGCAGCATGGTTCCTACTACTCAGGGGCTAGCTCCGGGACAAGCCCCTCTCAGGGTGCCAGAGAGCAGGCTGAGGGTGCAGGAAGCACCGGGAGCAGGCTGCCGGGGCCTTAGAGGTGGCCTGAGCTGAGTGGGAAGGTGCCACCTGTAGCTCCTACCGCAAAGAGCCAATGCTACCACCTGAGCGGCTGGTGGCCCTGCGCCAGGTTGGCGGCCGTGTGCTCATCATGCAGCTCCTTGATGCGCAGCAGCAGCTCCTCCAGGTTCTCACCCGTGACCGCCGACAGGGCGATGGCCTTCTCGCCCAGGTGGGCCTGCAGCGTGGGCAGGTTGGCTCGCGCCTGAGGGAGGTCAATCTTATTGGCGACGACGACATGGGGCCGCTCAGACAGGCCTTGCTTGTACTTCTCCAGCTCGTACTTCAGGTCCTCGACTTGGGTCCAGGGCTCTGGCGCTGCCAGGTCCACCACGAACAGGAGGAAGCCGCAGCGCTCGATGTGCCTGAGGAAGGCCAACCCCAGGCCTCGGTTCTGGTGCGCGCCTCGGATGATGCCCGGCACGTCGGCCACTGCGGAGACAGAGCAGGGGGCCGGGCCACCTCCGGCCCGTTCCCCGAGGTCTAAGACTTTCCTTTCAAGGAACACCTTAAACCCACGTTGATTGAGTTACTGACTCGGTGACTCATCAGGCCAATTGCCACGAAGGCATTTCAGCTTTGAGTTTCACAAGACGCTTGGAAATATTTGGGTGACAGGCACAGTGACAGATCCATCTAATAAGGAACATTTATTCACTGGAATTACACATTCCAGTCTTTCTGGCTTCAAAAATGATTTTAAAAGGAGGACCCTGCTTCCTGTAACCCATTAATAATTTGATTACTGATAGATTTGATTATCACAGAGTACCTGGTGAATGGAAAGTGCCATAGAAACAGAGCTACCTACCAGCAGGCTTGCTATTTTTAATGGGTACGTTATCTTCTGGGGAAAGTTTCCTTATCTCAGAATGGTAACAGGAAAGCTTTAAAATCACAGCGGGCTCCATGACTGGCACTGCTGAGTTCCCAAGCGGAAGGGGAGTAGAGGCAGCAGGAAGGAACAGCCTTCCCAGGTCAGAAATTTACATTCTAATTCCTGGTTGCACCCACAGACGTCGGCATGGGGTGGGATGAAAGTGTAAACCCTAACTAATGGCCACAGAATCACAACTGTTCACTTAGGAAAAATGATGCTGCTTTTCAGGCAGAAAGCTGCTTGCTAACGGTTCCGAATGACCCACCTCACAACCCCCACCTTCGGGAGGTCTACCTGCTACTTGCTGGTGGTCCTCATAGTGCACAATGCCCACGTGGGGATTCAAGGTCGTGAACGGGTAGGCAGCCACGGCGGGCTTTGCATTTGAAATGGCCCGGAGAAGCGAGGACTTGCCTGCGTTGGGGAATCCGACCTGCAAGACAGGGGGATGTGCTACCATTTCCTCCATCTGGGACAGACCGAGATCGGGGTGAATCTCAGGATTGGGAACCACACAAGTGAGGGCATAGCCCCTGTTCAAGGTCACAGGAGGCCAACTGGGGTGAGTTGCCCCTCTCCTGCAGGCTGATGGCATACCCCATCCACTAGAAACCACTTTTCCACAGCTCAGTGTGCAAAGCACCCCCTCCTCCCACTGGGGCTGTGATACCCACCATGCCAGCGTGGGCCATGGTCTTGAGCTCCAGGAAGAGTTCCCGCTCCTGCCCAGGCTCCCCGGAGGTGCAGGTGACGGGCGCGCGGTTATCGTTGGCCAGGAAAAAGCGGTTGCCCTTTCCTCCTGCCCCGCCCAGAGCTGCCACATACTCATCCCCGGGGTGTGAGAGGTCAGCCACAACTTTGTTTCCCTCCTTTACTAAAGTGCCCATGGGGACCTGAAAAATAATGAAGCATTTGTCGGGGAGCAGAAAGACAATGGCCAGACCAGGTGCTTTCTGTTTGGGAGGGGGTGCAGGCGGGACCCAGCGAGGAGCCCCTCCAGAGCCACCGAGTTCCAGGAGACAGGTCCCAGCCCTCCAAGGATTTCACGGGCTGGCGGCACCCCTGGGAACTGTGCACACGGCTTTTCAAACCGTGTTTCTAACCCATGAGGTGAGCTGATGCAGCAGAAACGCTGAGCTAACAGCAGTGCTCAGAGGGCCCGAGAGAGTGGGGACAGCGGGTGGCTCCTGGGCCAAGGTGAGACAGACTGGGGACCTGTGGGTTCCCTTTTTGTAAAATGTAATGATTTTGAGACTTAAAAAAAAAATCACCGGAGGAGTGGGGATATCTTTTCCATTGATTTTTAGAGAGTGGAAGGGACAGGAGGTGGAGGGGGTGGAGGGAGGGAGAGAGAGAGAGAGAAAGGGAGAAAGGGAGAGAAATATTGATGTGAGGAAGACACATAGATTGGTAGCCTCCTGCTCGAGCCCCATCTGGGGCATGGGACTGAAACTGCAACCAAGGTACATGCCCTTGACCAGCAATCGAACCCGCAACCCTTCAGTCCTCAGGCCAATGCTCTAACCACCGAGCAAATCCTGCCAGGGCGATTTTGTGACTTTTTCAACAGGTCATACAGCACATGGTATAAAATCAGTACAAAGTCCAGGCTGAGATTTGCTCTGTGGGAGATGGCTGTGTGGTTCAGGCCATGGGCCCCTGTGGACCACAGCTGGGAACCTGAGGAGCCTGAAGGTCTGGACTTGGGGCAGGGCATGCTCTGCAGATGGGGCTTACCCGGACATAGAGGAGAGCGCCACTTCGCCCGAAGCAGTTTTTCCTGCCACCGTCTTCTCCATCAAAGCCCTGGTACTGGGACAGGACCGAGGACAGTGACTTGAGTTGTCGGTCGACTAAAAGAGAAAACCTTCATGTTCTTGTTAAAAACAAAATCGGGCCCTCGCTGGTTCGGCTCAGTGGATGGAGCGTTGACCTGTGGACCAAAGGGTCCCGAGTTCGATTCCAGTCAAGGGCACGTATCTCGGTTGCTGGCTCCTCCCTCACTGAGCCCTGAATGGGACTTGTGCAGGAGGCAACCAATTGATGTGTGTCTCTCACATCAATAAATATTTCTGTCTTTCCCTCTCTCTTCCACTCTCTCTAAAAATCAATGGAAAAGCCCTAGCCAGTTTGGCTCAGTGAATAAAGCATCGGCCTGCGGACTCAAGGGTCCCGGGTTCGATTCTGGTCAAGGGCATATGCCTGGGTTGCAGGCTCCATCCCCAATAGGGGGTGTGCAGGAGGCAGCCGATCAATGATTCTCATCATTGATGTTTCTATCTCTTTCTCCCTCTCCCTTCCTCTCTGAAATCAATAAATATATATATATATATTTTAAAAATCAATGGAAAATTATCCTTGGGTGAGGATTAAAAAATAATAACTAAAAATAAAGTCTCCATAACAATAGTGCTAACAATCAAAAAAGTAGATAAAATACAAGTCTACTTTAAAAAAAAAACACCAAAATCGGCCAAGACCGGTTTGACTCAGTGGATAGAGCATTGGCCTGCAGACTGAAAGGTCCCAGGTCCGATTCCGGTCAAGGGCATGTACCTTGGTTGCGGGCGCATCCCCAGTGGGAGGTGTGCAGGAGGCAGCTAGTCGATGTTTCTCTCTCATCAATGTTTCTGAGTCTCTGTCTCTCTCCCTTCCTCTCTGTAAAAAATCAATAAAAATATATTAAAAAAAACAAAATCGGCTGCATATTGTTAACTTTCTTTAGTCTAGTTCCGGAACATTAGGAATGCACATGCAAACAGAACAAAGCCAGAGCAGAAGTTACTAAAGTAGCAAAGTGATATTTTAAAAAGCTATAAATTCTTATCTTCTTTCAAAAAAGTACTACAATTTCTGAAAAATTCAAAATTACCCACAATGTTATCAATTTTTAAATAGCTACACTTTATTAGTTGGGACTGTTTCCAATTTAAAAGTAGTTACATTTTATTGTTCTGAAATCTACTAAGTTTCCAGTGCTAAAAATGTGCTGAGTAATCAATACCCTCCCACCAGCATTTACCGAGATGGTAGCATACATTTATCCCCCGACTGTCTTACTATAATGTTAGGTTTCCTGATAGTAAGATAGCTCTGTGTACCTGAAATTCTTTTTAAAACCCACTATCAAAGTTGGGTTTGGGTGCATTATTTAAATGTAAACATTCACATAATTTAACAAAAATGATGCCCATACATCAACTTCTGAATTCAAATTCCTGTCAGGATGAGAAGGTGGAAACTTTCTGCCCCAACATGTGCAGACACAGTGGTCCTGCCCAAGCTGCCCCTCAGAGCACCTGCCTCTCAGGATGATGTGGCCACCGTTGCCTCCGTCGCCACCATCGGGACCCCCAAACTCCTTCCGGGGCTCACTGTGGAAGCAGCTCATGCCGTCGCCTCCGCGTCCCCCTCGGACAAGCACCCGGCGATGGTCCACAAAATGCCTTTTCTGCAGAGAGCACAGACCCGTGCGTCACGAATGCTGCAATCCTCTAGCCAAGCAGCCGGAGCACCTTTCTCACCGCCGTGCTTTCAAATTAGAGGTCAATGATGCTACTATCACTAACCTCTGCTAAAATGCAATGTAAGAACAGTTCCCAGCAGACGTGCAGAGTGAGGAAACAGTTCCCACAGGCGTGAAGAGTGAGGAAAACATACTCAGTGACAGACTCAACATGCCCAACTTGAGGAAACAGGTTTAGAAAATATTCCTGAAACAAAGCGTCGTCTCAGCTTCTTCAAACAGAAACATCACTGAAGGGCATCTCCTCGGCCTGCCTGCATAGGGCTCATTTGTAAACTCAGCGATGCAGAGAGCGCTCCTATGGGAGGGTGGATGTCTCTCCAGGTCTCTTCAGTTCCAGCGAAAGAACTGAAACCAAGCAGGGGACTGTTGAATAGCTATTGGCTCCAACAACAAGTTCAGCTACCCAAGAAGCCAGGGCGAGGCACCAAGGTGCCACCCAGCAGGCCATCCTGTCCTGGGAGTCCACCTGCTTCCTGCGCTGTGTGCAGAGACAGATTGGCCAGCACCTGGCCCTCCACCTGATACACAGATTGTTGTTTTAAGAAAGCACAAATACTTTCAGAATTTTTGGTACCACCAACCATGAATTACTATTTTAAAAACTTAGCATATAATTTTGCTGTATGCCAACATGCAAAATCCATCCAATGGATGCCTAGCTGCTGTGGCTCAGTGGTTGAGCGTTGATCTATGAACCAGGAGGTCATGGTTCAATTCCCAGTCAGGGCACATGCCCATGTTGTGGACTCGATCTCCAGTGGGGGGCATGCAGGAGGCAGCCAATCAGTGATTCTCTCTCATCACTGATGTTTCTCTCTCTCTTTCCCTCTCCCTTCCTGACATCAATAAAAATATACACACTGACGAGCACGTGGAGGTGAAGCCCGGCTCCACTTTCTCCGCTGGGCAAAGACAGTGCTACGGACACTGCTCTGAGCACCGGCGCTTCTCCAAGGAAGTTCTGCTGACCTGGAGCCCCGCTTGGGAGGAAATGAGGTGGGGCTGTCCTTGAATTAAAGTAAAGCACACTCATGTTTGTTTTTTCTCACTCATGTTTTACATGGTAAGTTTCATTTCATCATTTTCAAGTCCTACCTGTGTCCCTTCAATCATATAATCAGGACAGATGGAGACACGACAAGGAGAACTCACAACAATGCCTGTGAGAGGGAAGCTTCAGATCAGTTCCTTCCCGGTCAGAAGTCTCACCAGTTTTTTCTCGGAGAGCAGTTTCTTTCTGGAGGGTTCCTTGGCACAGTCCGCACAGCTGAGCGAGAGCAGCCGGGGGGCAGTGCACTGCAGGAGCCGGCCCAGGGCCCAGTGCCCCCAGGCCCTCCAACGCGCTCCGCGATCCTGTGGAGAACAGCCTCCCAGGCATCATGGCTTCCTAACAAAAGTCAAATTGGCAAAATAAGGTCCCTGGTTTACACGTGAACTTCAAACAAACTAAAATCTCATGGATGTTTTTGGAACAAATAAGTAAACTGCAGACTATGACTTTCTCCTGTCACTTGCCATGCTGGACCCTGAGTCATGAAGAGTCACCTGCCCCGTCGGCCTAGGCTACCTGGGGCCAGGTTTGTGTAGACAGGGTTTGTCATTAAACCTCTCTCGACCCTGGAAACACTCCCCCATCGAATACCAAGTATCTGCTAAATTAAACTATGACAGGAAATCGAAGCCTAAAATAAAAATTCCTGAAAAAATTAAAGCACCATTTACACAAATGCTGCGCTATTATCTTGTGCAGTTTAAATGTCAAACTGGAGATGAAACAGCTCTTCTAACTAAGCCAATAGGTAGAAGAAATCAAAATCAAAATATTTTGACCCAAGTGATCATCCAAAGTTTATGGGATGCAGGTCATGTAGTGCTCAGAGGGTAACTTACAGTCGTCCCTCCTCCCCATCCACGGGGACAGAGGCCAAGACCTGAGTCCTTGGATAGAACCAAACCCTATAGATACTATGTTTCTTCCCATATATACAATATATGCCTATGATAAAGTTCAATTAATAAATTAGACACAGAATAGGATTAAAAACAATAATGATAAAATAGAGCCATTGTAACAAAATGCTTTAAGGTCATGTGACGTGCTGTCTGGTGGTGTCTCTGTCCCTGTGATAACCAAGGTGGCTACTAAGTGACTAATGGGGATGTGGAGACCTAAACAAAGGGGCGGGACAGAATGGGACAGCAGCAAAAAATTCCATCACGCTGCTCAGAACAGGGTGCAATTTAAAACTTACGAACTGTTTATTTCTGAAATTTTCCATTTAACATTTCTTTTTAAAATTTATATTTTTATTAATTCCAAAGAGTAAGGGAGAGGGAGATAGAAACATCAATGATGAGAACCACTGATCAGCTGTCTCCTGCACGCCCCCTAGGTTAACACTCAATCACTGAGCCACACTGTCCAAGCAACATTTTTTTTTTAAAGAGAACCAACTCTATTTTTAAACAACATGTTCTTACTGATTTTTAGAGAGAGACGGATAGAGAGATAGAAACATCGATGAGACAGAAACATCATGGATTGGCTGCCTCGTGCACCCCCCTACTGGGGGATCAAGTCCGCAACCTGGGCATGTGTCTGGACCAGGAGTGGAACCAATGACCGCTTGGTTCCTGGATTGATGCTTATCCACTGAGCAACACTGACCAGGCCTACAGTTAACATTTCTGAATGTCAGCTGACCTCGGGTAACTGAAACCTTGGAAAGTAAACTGTGGGTAAGTGGCAACCACCATAGCTGTAAATGCTTCTCTTAGTAATTGAAGGTCTAAAATTAGTGATGTAAGGTTCCAAGTCCAGAAACTAGAAAGAAAAAAGCAAAGTAAACAGAAGGAAAGAAATAATAAAAACCAGAAACAAATGAAACAGAAAACTGACAACGGAAAACATACGGCAGCCCTGACTGGCCTGTTGAAAACACACATGGAAAACCGCATGTGAGAAGATGGTCCTGTGGTGAGGGAGGCAGAGACTGGAGCGGGTCAGCTGTGAGACCAGGAGCACCAGGAATGGCTGCTGCAACCCCGGACAAGGCTCGACCCAGAGTCTTAAAGGGAGCATGGCCCTGCTGACACCTTGACTTTGGCCTTCTGGCACCCAGACTGTGAGAGAATAACGTCTGGTTCTTTGTCACGGCTGCCCTATGACACTAAGATTGACAGCTCAACAACTGACGGAATGATTTGCTTGTGCTTCAGTTTTTTGTAAAATGGGGATCATAACTGGTACTTAACCTTGTAGGATTGTGAGGATTAAATGACTTAATGGTGTGAAACCTAATCTTCTATAATAATAAAAGAGTAATATGCTAATTAGACTGGCCATTCTTCCAGACAACCTTCCCGATGAAGCCAGGGCTGTGAGGGAGGGCCTGGGTCCCGGGGGCCTGCTTGCTGGTGGCCGGAGGGAAGCCCAGTTTGGATCCCAGGTGCTGGAGGGAAGCCTGGGTCCCGGGTGCCAGAGGGAAGCTGGTGCTGACAGCTGGGGGAAGGAAGGCCTACTCTTGCACCAATTTCATGCATCAGGCCTCTAGTAAACAATAAACACTAGCCCTAGGCGGTTTGGCTCAGTGGATAGAGCGTAGGCCGGCAGACTGAAGGGTCCCTAGTTGGATTCCAGTCAAGGGCACAGGCCCAGGTTTCGGACTCGATCCCCAGTAGGGGGTATGCAGGAGGCAGCAGATCAATGATTCTTTCGCATCATTGATGTTTCTATCTCTCTCCCTCTTCCTTCCTCTCTCAAATCAATAAAAATATATTAAAAAAATCAATGGAAAAATATCCTCGGACGAGGATTAACACACACACACACACACACACACTAAAATAAACAATAAAAATAAATAAATAAAATATAAGCAGAGTTGCCCTAACCGGTTTTTCTCAGTGGTTAGAGCATCGGCCTGCGGACTGAAGGGTCCCAGGTTCGATTCCAGTCAAGGGCATGTACCTTGGTTTAGAGCACATCCCCAGTAGGGGGTGTGCAAGAGGCAACTGATCGATGTTTCTCTCTCATCGATGTTCCTAACTCTCTATCCCTCTCCCTTCCTCTCTGTAAAAAAATCAATAAAATATATTTAAAAAAATAGTATACACACACACACACACACACACACATATATACAGAGTGGACAAACCCCGGATGCTAGAGGGATCAAGGAAGTAAGAGGACACAAACCACAAGGCCAGGAACATAAAAAATGTCACCCGAGCCCTGGCTGGTGTGGTTAAATGATTAGAGCAGTGGTTCTCAACCTTTCTAATGCCGCGACCCTTTAATACAGTTTCTCATGTTGTGGTGACCCCCAATTTCATTGTTACAAATTGAACATAATTAAAGCATAGTGACTAATCACAGAAATAATATGTAATTATGTGTTTTCCGACGGTCTTAGCCGACCCCTGTGAAAGGGTCGTTCGACCCACAGGTTGAGAACCGCTGGATTAGAGCATCAGCCTGCGCATTAAAGAGTCTCGGGTTTGATTCTGGGTCAAGGGCAGGGCACATACCTGGGTTGCAGGTTTGATCTCCTGCGAAGGCAACCAATCAATGTGTCTCTCTCACATTGATGTTTTTCTTTCTCTCTCCCTCCTCCCTCCCTCCCACTCTCCCTAAAAATCAATGGAAAAAATAATATTTTCGGGTGAGGATTAACAATAACAAAAAGGGGTCACCCGCATGAGCCCTGCAGGCATCAAAGGGCAAGAGAACACCAAGGAACCACTTGTGCCTCAAACTCAGCAAGTTCCTGAAAAATGCACCTTACCACAAAGACAGAAGAAGAAACAAAAACAAAACAAAAAAGAAAAAAAAACCATAAAGAAAACAGAGAAGAAACAGAAAATGTCAATCACCCGTAACTACTAAAGGAGTTGAATTTGTTATTAAAGAACATTCCCCGTAAGAAAACTCCAGACTCAGGCTGCTTTACTGGTAAATTCCATCAAACATCCCAGAAGTAGTAACAGCAGTCTCACATGAACCTTCTCAGAAAACGGAAGACGTGAGACTACACCCAAACCATGTCATGAGGCCAGAGAAGCCCCAATACCCAGCTGACATTACGGGAAAGGAAATGATTGTGAATACAGAGGCAAACAATCCCAACAACGTCGTGTCCAACTGCGCCCTGCACATCACACTGCAGGACCAAGCAGGGTGACGCTGGGACACGAGGCGCCATCAGCAGCGGGATCCCACACTGACTGTCACATCTGGCAAAGCCCGCACCTACTCCCGAGCAGGGAAATGAAATGTCACTGGGAAGGGAAGGGGACACTGTCAGACTGACAGAGGCCACAGCCAACACCACACTGACTGGAGAAAGACTGAAGGATGCCCTTGCCTACCCCTTCTGTGTGACACTGTCTTTTAGACACTGTAATAAAGAATTTTTTTAAAGGAATTTCTTTTTAAAAAATATTTTTTTATTGATTTTTAGAAAGAGGGATTGAAACATTGATGAGAGAGAAACATCAGTTGGCTGCCTCCTGTACGCCCCCTACTGGGGATCAAGCCCACACCCCAGCACGTGCCCTGACCAGGAATCAACCGGGGACCTCTCAGTGCACAGGATGACACTCAAATGACTGAGTCACACCAGCCAGGGCTGCAATAAAGAATTTTTTTAAAAAAAAGACAAAATATAGATCTGATTTTTTCCATAGAAATCTACAAAACCTGATTAGAATTAATAAATGAACCAAGCAAGGTTGCAGGTTACAAGATTAACACACACAAATCAATTGTATTCTTATACACAAGCAGCAAACAACTGCATTGGCAGTAACACGAGTTACAAAAAGTTCCCGGACATAAGTTCAACGATAAACATTCGAAGCCCCTGCCTCACTCTCTGCAGCATTCTATCCTTGGCATCGTTCAGGAATTAGGTCATCTAGTCCTCATAACAATTCTGTAAAGAAAATGAGGAAACTGAGACAAGGTACAATGACCTACCCAAGGCCGTGCTGCTGTGAGATGGGACAGGCTGAAGTGGATTATGAAAACAGGTTGTTAAAGGAAAAACAACAACTCACCGATCACCTACACTGCATGCAGCTAAGCCCGCTGGCAAGCGATGCCATCTGTGCCGAGGTGGCAGAAACCAGGCTTCCCCGCCCTGGCAACATGAAACCTGAGGATGGACTGTAGCAAAGGTGAACAGTGACAAAGCCAACCAGAAACCTGGCCGCCCACTTGGCCTAACTTGGAGTACATCCCCCTTCAGCCCTTTGATCTCTGTTTGGAAAACCCACTGAACCAGTACCTGCCAGGTGAACCATTCAGCTGTGTCTCACACTGTTACTTGGTCTTCATTTTCCTTCGAATGCTGTACCTGTGCTGGCCAATAAGCTACCCATTGGCCATATGTGGCTACTAAATTTAAATCAATTAAAAAACTTGAAAATGTAAAAACTCAGTCATTCAAGCCACATTCCAAGCACTCACGGCCACATGTGGCCAGTGGGCACCAAACTGGACAGCACAGATGGGAATGTGTCCACCTCAACACGTTTACCTGGCCAGGTGAGCAGAGTACAAAAGATGAGACTGTGCGTACAAAAGCCCTGGTCCAAGTTGGACGAACTTTGATTCCAGGATGGGGCTTTAGAAAGACTCAAGAGCCCAGCCGGTGTGGCTCAGTGACCGTCGACCCATGACCATTCCTGGTCAGGGCACAGACCCGGGTTGCAGGCTCAAGCCCAGTAAAGGGTGTGCAGGAGGCGGCTGATTCTCCCTCATCATTGATGTTTCTTTCTAGCCCTCTCTCCCTCTCCCTGAAATGAATAAAACCAAAAACCATTTCTTTTTTTAAAAATAAAGACTGGAGAGTCACACGGCAAGGGCTATGCTTCAGATATAGCTACTTTGTTCCCTAAAGTGTGAAGTTCAGTTCTACTGGGCCATGGGAGTTATTATTGCCAGGAACCTCAGCCTGACCTTGTACAGAAACTTTTATATTTATTCCTTACAATAACTGTATGAGCGGGCAGTAGTGCACATGGGTGTCCTGCTGCTTCGAGGACCTGCCCCTGGGCTCCCGATCTCTGGCAGAGACTGGAGGAGCAGGAGGCCAGGAGGGTGACTTCCCTGCCCCGCTCGATCCCTAGATGGCACTGCCGTCTTCTGTAACTGCCCCTCCCCTTGTGCCTTGCTGTCTAGGGGTGGAAGCAACTCCAATGTCACCCCTCCAGGTTAAAACACCACCTCTACCGTTTCCCCACTCTCCCTTCAGAAACCCTCCTTAAATTCTCCTATGTGATGGGGCCATGATTCCTGACCCTGACATTTTTTATGCCAATTTTAGAGCGGGGGAGGCTGCGGCTCCGAGGTGAAGCAGCTTGCCCAAATCACAGTGTCCTCTGGCCTCCCAGCAGGAGCCTTCCAAGTGAAGTATGCACACACAACACTTCCCAAGGTTAACTTCAAAGGAGCCAGCGTTCTACCTCTTAACGTTGGCTGTGTTCTCTTTGCTTAAACAGATCTGAGAGCAAACTTGCATTTAGAAGAATCGCGTTCTGCCTCCCCTACCTCCTTTCCGCGGGGTCCTCGCCTTCACAAAACAAAGGCACCCTCTGGGACGCCCGTCCTCGCCCGCCGGCCGGTGAGCAGAGAGCGGACCCAGTAAACTCGCCTCCCTGCAAACGGCAGCCGCGTGAGCGAGTTCACTGGAAAACCACCCAGCGGTCGAGGGCTGCACTTGCAACAACACTTCAATGAAATGTTCATAAAAACCGGTGTGTGCTAACGCTGTTCTGTGCCACTAACAATTATAAAGAAGCATCCAGAAGACAATGTTTAGTATTTAGGTCCGTGCGTCAAAGGAAGTATCCGAGCTCCTTAAATTGGGTGCATGAACGCGGGGACGGGAGGAGCTGGGGGCCGTTCGTAGGGCCCCGCGGAAGGCGCACTGCCGGGCTCCCGGGCCGGCTTCCCAGGTGCCCGCACTCACGCCCGCGGCGACTGTCCCGCTACACACAGGACGGGGTGGAGGGTCGCCTGGTCGGCGCCGCTGTCTCCGCTTACGGCCTCCTCCCTCCTCCCGGCGCCCCCACCTGCGCCTCCCCAGGCAGCGGCCTCCGCGCCCGCACTCACCTACTCGGAAAGGCTCATCACTTCCGGGGTCGCTGCCGCGGCGAACTACTTCCGGGGACCGGCCCAGACTGCGCACGCGCAGCGCCTCCCCGCGGGCATCCCGCCGCAGACTGTCCGCCGGCGCGGTGCGGTTTCCCTCCGGCCTCCGAGCCCCTTCTCAGGACCCTCGGCTCCATCATCCTGTCTCTATGCTCCTCCGTCGTCCTCAACCAGGGTGTGGTCTCGGGTGACCTCACCGGCCGCTCCCCGTCACATACCTGACCTTCACTCTGGCCGGAGCTCCCAGCGAGGGGGTCCCGCGCGGGGTAGCGGACAGTGCAGAGTCCTGGGGTCAGCTCCCCGCCCCCGTGGGTCGTCAGACTTTACAGGACAGCCTGCCCGAGGTGGCCCGCTGGACACTACCCAGGTAACAGGTTTCCCAGGAGGGTGACTCAACGTGGAGACAGACACCTGGGTCCAGGTACAAGTCATGGAGCATCCCATTAACGTCACGAACACTCACTTTTTAGAGTGACTTTTGAAGAACCAGTTTATTAATTACACCAAAAACATAAACAATTTATACGCCAAACTCTCCCGGCTGGAAAAACACACACAATAAAGATGATCTCCAAAATAAAAGTCCTGTGCTCACAGATGAGTTTGACCTGTTCAATTAGAAATGAAGTAATGGCTAAAAATGTTTAAATGTAAATGAAAATGGTCTTCCATTTGTGCAATTCTGAGTGGGTGCCCAATATTCAAATATATACTAGTATATGCTGGCAAACTCAGGCCACTTGGGCTTCCCCGGAGGTCCTGGCGACCATGCACACCCTGCCGTGATTCCCGATTCTCCGCACGAGTTTTAAGTACTTTCCACACCTGTGGTTCCAGAACAAACCCCAGTGGGCGCTGAGCTTTTGCACACCAATATGAATTTGTTGGCACTTCTGAAAATTGTGATCACTTTCCAAGTTTGAGACCTGCTGGGTGTCAGGGACAACAGGAGGCAGGACGAGCACCCATTTCCAAGTCTTCTGCTGCATCTCACTGACCTGTAGAAGTAGTCATAAAAAACAAAGCGCCACCCATCACACTGCACAAACAGTTCATCTTAGCCTAAGCTTTTGCAAACATTCATATCACAGAAGAGAAAGTATTACACAGCTAACGACAACGAATTGCTGGCATCACTTTTTCCCTACAATGTCACATAAACACGGACAGCACATTAAATCGTTTGGGAACCGTTTTCCTGCCAATGGCCATTTGGGTATTTATAACATCATTCACAGGCCATGCAAAATTATCAACTTAAAAATTAGCCTGCTATATTTGGTCAAACATTTAATTAACTCATCCCTAATGCCTTGGCAGGGCCAGACCAAATGATTTCTCGGACTTTATACAGCCCTCGGGCCAGACGTTCCCCACCCCTGCATTAAATAAACATTCTGTTATTACTCCTTAAATATATTAACACCAAAAATCAAGTATAAATAAGGAAATAAATGTACAAACTATTTCACAAAGTGCTTTTTAAAATATATACACAACATTCAAGAAATTCTTAATGTAAGACATTTCAGATTGAAGTTTCAGGATAACTTTCAAGTGTCCTTTTCTTTAAAAAAAAGTGTTCATTAAAAAAAGCCAACCCTACACACATAAAAGGAATATTCCCAGGATGGCAAGAAATAAAAATAACCTAGTTTCACGGTTATCTAAAATGTTTAACATTTTCAATGGGAAATTTTAGTTCCTGATTGAGTCTACAAATTAGATCTATGACAACTGTCAGGAAAGAACAAAACAAATCAAGGGAGATGACATTGCTAATGTCTGTGTCATTTAGCAAATAAGAGCTCTCATCTCAGTCATTGAATATAGATATATATTTTTAAGCCCTTACCAGTGTTTAGGGTTTTTTAAAGCCAATACCAGTATACCTATAAAATAAAAGCTTCTATCTAAGTATGTCTGATGTATCAAGAATTCGATATTTTTTGTATTTTCTTGGTTGCTCTTGGAAATGTCAGCATTCATCCAAAGATGTTTTTAAAGGATTCACAGTAAAAGTAGATATTACCCAAGTAAATATTGACAACATGTCAGTATTACTTAGTGAAATGTAGGATTTTTCCTCTGACCAGACTTTTCCAAGTGAGCTGTCTATAGTGCTTGCCCAGAATTTAAATAGGATTTAAAGTCCTGGGAATGTAAAAATTATTCACATTTCTCTAAGTAAAAACTTTCCTTTTCACTAGGAACACCACAATACCCTCAGTGGGGTTCTTTTTAAAATTTAGTTGTAAATTTTAGATGTCCCTAAAACAGCGGTTCTCAACCTGTGGGTCACGACCCCTTTGGAGGTCGAACGACCCTTTCACAGGGGTCGCCTAAGACCATCCTGCATATCAGATATTTACATTACGATTCATAACAGTAGCAACGTTACAGTTATGAAGTAGCAACGAAAATAGTTTTATGGTTGGGTCACAACATGAGGAACTGTATTTAAAGGGCCAGAAGGTTGAGAACCACTGCCCTAAAAGAAAAGCAACGCTTGCTTGGAGATCTGAACAAGCAGGTCGTGGAAGAAATAACATAAAACGAACAACTTGCCAACTGTGTGGAAAGTTTGGTGTCACTATTTTAAGCTATAAATTTAGAATGGGGCACATTTACTATTCAAACCCCCAAAATCACCATCAGGTAAACATGGGCCGGAGCCCAAGCCCTGTCAGAGCACCTCCTCTCTGCACGTTGGCGCTGCCTCCTGGGGTTGGGCTAAAGGTGGCTGCCTTCGTGGACTCATATCTGCAACAGTCATTGATCTCGCTTTACTTTTTAAAAGGAGAGCATGTAACTTTTTGGATAGATGGAATCAGCGAGAGAGGTAATGAGCTCCGGGAGGTCCTGGGCAGTTCGCAGCCTCTCCACATGAAACATATGTAGTCTTTAACAGAAACAGACCCAAAACACAGACAAAGCCCCGCCCCACCGAGGCCCGGGAAGAGGCTGCACCCAGGGCTGCGTGAGCAGGTCCAGCTGTGGGGTCACCAGTGAGACAGGTTTACAACCCACCTTACCCTGCGTGAGGAGAGCTGGACCTAAGGTCTGTTTATACGATATACTGACTATGGCATCTTGTAGATTCCCATCGCTGGGCACAGAATACTCTGATGGCAAGAGGACCCTAAAGCTAGCTAGAAACATCGACGTCTCCATTCACCATGTGGACATGATACTATACACAGCACCAGGTACGTCACACCATCAGCGCGCAGTCCCAAGCCTCCGGCACACTCGGCGTCATACCCAGCATGAAATGTGCACACTTCACATGCGACACGTGTGGGGCGAGGGGGAACCGACGGGCCACAGTTTGTCAGAACCGCCACAGGTCGGTCCACGCCGGCGGACACACCACTACAAGGCTCCACCAAGAACGCTGTCCCTTACTGCTGGTAATTTCCATACTGGCCCTGCAAGAGACCAGGGCAGAGATTATACCCAGACACAAGTAGAAGCCCCCACCCCGGCCAATGTGCGGGATGAGACAAGGAAGGTGTGACAGGCAAACAAGCGGACAGGGCAGTCACTGGCTTTCCCAGGAGAGAGGGCCCCTCTGGTGGTCTGAGCCAGCCCTTGGCCCCTAGGACCTCTTCCTAGCACTCTCTGCCCGGCTCCATCCTGGCCCCCAAGCAGCATCCAGCTCTGTGGGACGAGACCCAAGCTCTAAAGTGTGGCCATCAGTGTCGAGTTGCCGTGACCCCGGCATGCAGAGGGGAGGGCACACGTGAGCCTCTGCGGCAGGAGAGAATGCCAGACTCCACGTGAGTTGACGATGCACAAAACCAGCTGTCTGACCAGGGTGAGCTGCACATCCAGGTAATTTTTAAAACCTTACCGGGTCAGAGAATAACACCCTGGAAGACGGCTGGTTCACCTCACTATTCGTGACCACAGAAGAACCTGTTATGTTTTGACAGACATGCAGACCTACGTGTGGGGAAACATCTAGAAAGCTTGCCTGCTCGTAGCCGTACGGCCGCTGCTGCTGTGCGGACGGGCCGGTCTGTGACGTCCTGTAGCTCCCGTACTGTTGGCCTTGTCCTTGCTGGTAGCTGGAATACTGTGAGGGGGCTCCCTGGGCCGGCCCTGGGAACACAGCAGCCGTGAGGCCACCCCACCACGCCCGGTCCCCTGGAAAGCTCCAGACAGCAGACCCAGGTCTCCTGGGCAAATCTGCCGTAGTGAGCGCGCTCAGCAGGCCGAGCTGCTGTCCAGTACCCCGCCTGCTGCCCCAAGAGCTTCACGTCATGGTGGTCACTGTGGCCCATGTGAGTTCACAGCAACCAGTGAACACACATGCAAAAGGCAGTGGAAACTAAGCTCTGGGGAGAATTCAGAGAGGCTGGGGGAGGACAGCATCGTGGTCCCAGAAATAAGCAAGTGCTCAGAACACAAAGGACAGGGCACAGCAGCCAACGCTGGGACGACGTGAACAACAAAATAAACAAGCCCTGAATGACAGCCCAACGTGTGAGACTAACATCCACGCCACCTCATACAAATAATGACTTCTTTCTGTTTTGCTGATTTTTATCTGGCTTTTCTATTTCTATATTTGGGGGGGGGGGGGTTGCTTTCCCTTTAAAGGAATTTAGAGATTTAGTTTGTTATATTTCTCTCACTCTCTTTCTTATGAATACAGGCATTTACATGGCAGCATTTCATATATTATGAAATTCTTTATATTTTCATTGTAAAATATTCTGTAATTTTTGTATAGCATTTCTTCCCTGACCCCCGGGTGTAACTTAAGAGAATTTTTAACATTCTTCATTGTTGTTTATTATTTAG